ACCAAAAGAACCTCAAGGGAAAAACCAAATTCAGCAGAGGCAAAGCCTTCTGTAAATAACAAATTACCCTAGAAGATCATCACCTCTTCCTGGGTCATATCAATCAAGAGGGAAAGGGAATTCCTTTCTTCCTCTTTCCACATCCATTCTGTGCTATACGGAGGTTTTTGGCTCTTCTTCTTGTGTCAAATGAAGTACAGCAGCAGATCCACTCCACTGAGACCTTCATGCCTTGTATTTTTGGGAGGAAGAAAACAAACTGACAACTCAAACTCCCAGTCATTCTGATGAACCTGGGAGACTACAGATTGCTATTCTATCTGTGGAGAAGCACCAGTCTCTGTGATACCAGTTCATCTCTGTAACCTCATTAATTTGACCACCCATTGATCAAACTATGCCAGACTTCCCCAGACACTTGTTATTGCCCACCTCACTGACATGCTCAAAGACCTCCAATCACATCTTTAAAAAAAGTCTTGCCTGATTTTAGATAATAATTTATCATTTATAGCCCTCAGGTCCTTTCTTGTTGAAGCTGGACCTGGATTGATATAACCTAGGACCTGGCTTACAGAGAACTATACGGACTGTTCAGTAAGGTTCTTCTGCTTCCCTAATTTTTCTTCGCAACTAGGCATGGTGGGGGCTAGCTGGCGAGAGCTACAGATCCATTTCTAAGAAACTGAAAGTAACCAGCGAAGAGTCTTTTCCTATGTTTCATGAGACTGCGCCCCAGAGGGGACAATGTACCCATTACTGGTCCTAGGAAGTAGGCCAGTATGGAATTGCTGCCAGTGTCCTGAGTCAGTTAGCAGGGATCCTTTCAGTTGACAGGACTGTTGCTGAGGGGATGTGATGGAAAATACCTTTCAGTCTGTGTTACCTAAAATGAAGTTGAACTAGTATGGTTTAAGAGAGGGATGCTCAGGATTGTGGATGACCCTGTCAAAGACTTAACTAAACCTCAGATGTTGTGCCAGGTAGAAAAGTGGATGCATAAAGTTAAGACTGAACACAGGAACTGATATAGATGCTGAGCAGACACAGGTCCCCATAGGGTGAGGTTTGAAACTCTGAGATACAACCCATTAAGGAGAAACATCAAATGTTTTATTTAGCTTTCATGAAAATCCAAAGGATCAACAGAGCCATAAAGGTCAATATTTAGGACTAGGTTTCTGATTTGTGCAAGCTTTAATATTTTATGCGAAGTTCAGGGCTTTCATGTTCTTTTATATTAATGGACAACTTATTTCTTTTGACACACATGAATGAAAATTCAAATTCATGCACGCTTCCTTTGAATCTTACTGTCTAATCAGCGTATCTTTTACATTTAGTGTTCCACACTGTAAACTAATCACAGGCTCTAGTATACTTCTAAGCATTCTTAACGTCTAGTCAATAATGCAGAACAAAATCTGTACAAAACATGCCTACATTTGATCTTTTCATGAGTCTCTAAATACTTCTTCATTTAAAATTGTATTTGAGTTGTAACTTTATTTTCTGGGCTTATATTCCTTAGTTACATTAGAAATGCTTGGATCAAACATTATACGGTAGGCAGTACAAAATCATGTTAAAATTCTGTGACGGTACACGAATAACTTATATACTATACTAGGTAACAAATATCCTTGCAATTGGTGGTAAGTAGTATAATCATGAAGAAAAACTACTATGTAATTTAATTTTTACTGTTTAAAGGATGTAATTCAAGTCATATTACATTAAAATATCAACTGAACCTATGCATGTGACTTGAAAGGTAGGTTACAGAAATGTATTTCTTCATTAAATCCATACTTATGAAACAATCCAATTGAAATCAGCGACAGTAAAAAAAGAGAATAAGAAAATGCTGTTGCATAATTGTAATAATTTTGAAAATGAAAAATTAGATTAATGCCCTAAGTAACAAAAACCATCCTAATAATAGAAAAGAATAAGGTTTCATGATTTTGTGCAGGCTTTACACACCCAGAAACTGCCATCTAGCTAAAAATAGCTTATCCTTTATATTTTAGGTTACTTAAGCAACAAAAAAGTTGCAGCCTGACCCAAATTTTAACAAATATAAAGGAGATCTAGAATATATAAGCACAAACACAGATTTCTACTGTTACAGCAGCTGATCTTGCTGACTGAAATGAATCCCATTGCACACAACTATACTCTATTCAGCTTCCGTTTATTGTCCCTATATTCTCCTGTTCTATTACTGATGGCTTGCTCCTCAAAAAGTGGTAGGCTGTTGGCATACTTCATTGACATATGCAGCTTGTGCATTCAGAAGAATGGTTTCCCAAATAACTGAGAACTCACCATTGTTTATAGATATCCCAGAAAATTTCTATAGGAATGATTCATTCCATAGAGTCTGCAAATCTATCCACTTTGAATTCCTCTTTAAATGATGACCTGACATTTGTTCTGTAGGGCTAGGGACAGAAGTTACACACAAACCAGTTTAAGTGATCAGAAACCAGTTTAAACCTGTAATGGAACAGAAGATCAATACACATAAGCCAGTTTCAAAATGGCTGAAACGGGTTTAAGATAAACGTGGTTGAATACAGTATCAGACTTAACTGATTTAGGGCAAATCGGTTTATGAAAATTCTGTCCCAGACCCTTTCCTGGTTCAAGTTAAATCAGAGTCCCCCCAGTCCCAACATGCTTTGCAGCCCTGGGCTGAGCTGTGCTGTCTGCTCCAGAGAGTAGAGGTGCATCCTCTTTGCTCACTGGCCAAAGCAGTGAGCTGGCTCGCTGCCCCCACTCCCCCCAGGCAAACCCAGTTGGTGTCTGCGGCCATGGAGGGGGTTTAAACTCCTCTTCCCCTGAGTATGGAGCTGCCCTGCCCTGTTTACTTACTGCTGGCTGCAATTGTGGACTACAAATCCAAAAGGCACCTGGAAGCAGGAGGAGGAAATGATGAGCAACCCTGCAATGTCCTGCTGCTGTGATTGTGGACTGCAAATCCCAGAGACCTTGCGGGCAGCGGGAAGAGGAAACGAACACACAGCCCATGCTGGCTATGTGCCAGAGAGCCATGCTTTAGCACCTCCCCACCCGCTGGCTTCTGGCTTCAGCCACTGCAAGCACATAGCTACATTTCCTGAATCAAAAGTGAATGTCTGTTCATTTGCCTATTGTTTCAATCTTTGCAGTTTAGACTAACCTGCAAATACTGAATCAGTTCAGCCTCAGGCTTTTTGACTGTCTGGACTTAGCCTAGAGGGAGACAAAGCCAACACTGATGAAAAAAGATGGCAGCTGCTTTCAGATGTGTTTTTCAGAAGCAGGATGATAACATGTTCCATAGGTCCACCACTTCTGTGCAATGAGACCTGAACAGCATACCTTGCTATTATCCCTTAACTTCTCAAAGAGTTAACAGTGCATAAAACTTGTTTCTGGGTTTACTTACAGTTCTTGGGGAGCTTAGTTCAATTTTTGACTGATGACTGTCTCTGCATGCTGTAACCAACTGTCTGGAGTGAGTTAAACCACAATGAATCTTGGAATTTTGACTTAGAAGCATAATTTAAGAAGATATTAGGTCCAAAAGTGATACGGAGCTCTTCCTTTCCCAAAATTGCTGTGCCAAGTTTATAAAAAAGTACTACTAACATTCTAGAAACCTTCACTAACACTACGCCCCCATTTTCAGTACAGTCTGTTTCCTGTAAGTGGGACTAGTGAGTGAGGGGGTTCTGTGGTTATGTTGCTATGTAGATCATTTGACATACAATGTGTTTAGTCAAATTACAAATCTAATAAATGGAAAGGATGATAATAAGATCAGTGCACCAGTATAAGGTAATTGGGAAGTAAAGACAAAATCTGGCCTTAAGGGCTGTCATAAAATAAGCACCCCCTTTGGTCACATACATGAGCTACACATTTTCCGGTTACAAGGGAAGGGGAAAGAGCAGCTTCTACAGGCTTTGCAAGCTGCTCTCCTCCACAGACAGGTGGGGAAAGGGCCAAGTCTGCAATACAGCCTCTGTAATACCCAGCCAACACAGCTGAGCCAGTGCAGAGCAAGAACTAATCTGTACCAGCTAAAGGGCTGGCACAGATTCCTATTTCCCTAGAGGAGGGGAGGGACCAGATTGTGGCTCTGAGCCGATTCAATTCCTTGAGCTGTACAGCTATGGACTGCTTATTACTCAGGGCAGATTGCATTCTTACCATCTAGCCCCAAGTGATCCCCTCCTTTTCCAGCTTTTTCATCATTTGTGACAAAGACAGGACATTGTGGCCAATTGTGTGTGAAAACATCTCTCTTCAGCTAGCCCATGTTTTACAAGGATAACCACCATAGGCCAAGAGACAGATAATTCAGCAGCCTCTGTAAACACAGAAAATAAGAATGCTTTAGTACATCGGTATCTTTAGTTCCTTTAAATAATCTAACCATCCCTTTTCATTTAATATGGAAAATTAAATATTAGTTTAGTAAGTGGGAATCAGCATAACTCACAGCTGTAGAATTGAGCTAAGTTATTTTGTTGCAATGTGTAAGGATAATTTTACCAGGCCTCTCCCATTTCTGTCCTTTCTCACCCATGCTAAGAGAAGTGACACAGATCTGGCAGCGCTAGCTGCTTGTGTGAGGATTCCCTGTGATGAGGTGTCCTTGACTGTCCCAATATCACAGTTTTCCAGGTGGTGCAAATGAGCTGGAATAAGAATGTAGGTTAAACCCATTTATTGTGTTTTAGCCTCACAAATCACATAGACATTTGAAAAAAAAGTAAGATAGGTCCAAAGATTGAGGGACAGGTGGAGGGAGCTGTAACATGTTCTGCAAGTGTTTTATCAAAGTGTCATTTCTGCTGATGTTTTCTGATGAGAGTTGAGCACCTCTGGCAGCTTGTGGTCAGAAAGCTTCTTTGGTCTTAGTACTTCAACTTGGAGACAGGAAGTGCTGGGAGCAGTGAGGACTCGAGGAGGTTTCTCCCCAACCCCATAGAAACAGACACACATTCTCATTTAACAACTAATTGATTTATTTAACAATACAAATTTCTTTCTACTGCTTGGTTTAGCAGAGAAAAGTTGAGAAACAAAATTAGCTTTTTTTTTAACTTTAAATGTTTACACAAAACAACCTTTACTTCCGTAAATATAAAATTTACACACAAAAACTACATTAAAAAGAACAGTCGTGACAAACCAACAAAAGGATGGGAATTCAGAGTAAAGCATCAAATGTCCAGAAAACCTAGAATGGGGTAATGTTAAGAAGGCATCCCACTTGTACGCCTAAATATTTCAAGTGATGTGTGATAAGAAAACCAAGTACTTTAAAATAAGGATTAAAACTTTATACCATATATTTTGTGATAAAATATCTGAAAATTCTGTAGGTCACATATTTAATATGTGAAATATATATTTTGTCCCTTATTGGAAAGTCACTGGAGTGGCATGCATGCAACGCATGTATGCCTTTGCCTACATACAGTAATCAGCAAGGTCTTTGGATTCTCTTCCCAGATTTTAGCTTTCCAGTGCATATAGTTCTTAGTTTCTTAGATGTTGTTTCTTTGTGATGGTACATTATTTCTCACTATGTACAATTATATAGTGAGAAACTGAGGTTGCCTTCTGTAGAGGTTCCCAGCTCTTTATTTTATACTAGTTTGCTACCAGACTAAGGTCTCCACAATACCTGTTGGTTCCTCTCATTTCTCATTTGCACTTCACAGCCTGTATGTACTCCAAGCCCATCTTGCATTTGCCAAAAGAGACTGACTTCTAATTAGAGATACAGGGATATATAGCTCTCTGAGCTACCTTAAGGACACTAGCAATATTCAGACAAAGGTAGATGACATGTGCTAAGGGCCACATGACCCAAGAACAGGGATTTATCCAGTGATAGTTAACTTCAAATTCCTCCACTGCTTAGATATTAACACTTGAAATTCAGTTTTCTATATATTTGATGAAAGAACATCTTAATAGAAATGCTCCAAAAACACAACGTAACCTGGAAGATTAACTTTAAAAATTAGACCCACATCTTTGTTAGTTAATTTTAAAGGGATCAACAGACATTTTAGTTATATTCTGCAAAGGTGACCTGTGACCTACAAATGCCCAAGATATAAAATAATTAGTGACTACTTTAAAAACTGTGTAGCATATAAACTTGCACCTTTGTTACAGATAGCTGTTACAAGATTTCTGGGAGGAAGTAAAAGGGTAGAGTCTTCTGAAAAGCAGTTTCACTTACAAAAGTTTCCCCCCACAAAAGATGTTTTATCTTTTTAAAATCTCCTAATCCCTGATTAAATTTATTCTACTCCTTTTCAGATAGATGATAAAACAACCAAAATACTTTGGAAGACTATTTTCAATGGACAACTACAGTTCTCTGGATTAGCAAGTCATATACTTGTGATCTATACTCAGAAGCAAAGCATCAAGCTATCTGGATCCTGATCTGGCTCCAACTGAAAAGGTGAATGGTAAAACGCTGATTTATGGGAGCAGGATTGAGCCTGTAGCATCTATCTACAATAATGTTAAAATTAACATTTTTGGTAAGATATCCAATTGAATATTTTATTTTTAAACAATTCAAATGTGTATATTATTTAATAGCAAGACTTTGCTTTTGTGTATCAATTTGCCCGAAGATCCACTGGGATCTGTGATATAACAACCCTGCATTATTATTATATTTAAACTCATTCAAATATTATTTTAAAATAGGAAAACAAAGAAACTACTCCTTGGGGAACACGTTTATTGTGTGTGAGATGATACACAGGGTGCTCTCTGAGCTACAAAGGGAAAAAGGAAACCCTTTCATTACAAACTGACAAAGGTAAAAGTTAAAACAGTTTTCACAACAGCATGTACCACATATTGGAAATAGATCTGGGTTTAATACAAATGACATAATTCCTAGTAATCTACAGCTACCTTTATAACTTCATACAGATAATGAATTAGGCTAAAATGCACTATAATATTTGGTTGACTTCAGGAACAGTATCCTTAGTACATCACAAAATACATTTTGATATCCCAAAGAAGCAAGACTTGCAAGTAGGCATTTTAAACATAACTAATCTACAGCTACAAAGTTCTACTCTTAATAGCATTTACCTTTTTGGGGGCAGTATCCCAGTCTTCAAAAGGATAAAAGCAGAGTAGAATCAGTATAACATATACACAGAAGTCCGTATTGTAAAGGCTATAAAGATTTGTTGCACACTGTAAAGTTGCCTCCTGCACCTTCACACTGCACAAGTAGTTTATGTCATTTATGTTGCATATCTCTTGGTCCACTGTCTGGCTATCCTGTCATGTTCTGCTCTGTTGGTCAGATACTGAGTGGCTATGCTTCCGACCAGAGGATCAGCTGTAATAATGTGAAGGGAAGGGGAAAAAAAGCAAAAGAAGCTACATTAGCAATCCTTCTACTAAAGAAAAGGGGGAAACATTTTAAAAACTGAATTGGCTCCCAATGGGCACATCTACACGTTCATTAATGTGTCGTAATTACATAGCATTAAGTTTAGTACCTGTAATAACAGGTACTAAATTAATGTGCTGTAATTGGCACTACTGAGCATTATTAATGCTGATGAATACTTTCTGTGATGCTTAATGTTCATTGGACTAAATCTACTGCACATTAGCATGGTTTTTGCCAGCCATGCTAACATGCACTAGAATTAGTCCAATGCACATTATGGGTCTTGTGTAAATGCGCCCACTGTGTACAGTCTTGGTAGGCTGTACTCTGCAGCATGGTTTTAACAAATGAGACGCTTCCTACAAGAAGTGCACAAAGCTGAATGAACAGGAAAGATTTTAATATTTTGATTATCTGCATATTTCAACATTTAGTTTATTTTAAAAAATGAGAAGACATCTATGTTAAAATATTACAGCTTTTCTCTTTACCCAACACTGTAGCAAAGTCAGCTACAGGCTGGGTAGCGGACAGATTTATCGCTAGAACCATTTGCTTTTATGCAATGTGTTTAATACATTCACACTTTCAACTTTTTAAAACTTTATAAAAATCTTTCATTTTTGCAAACTTAACCGCCCACAGGAGAGCAAACTCCTCCTAATCAGATTAACACACAGCCAGCCAATTTGGGGTGACGAGAATACTGGAGGGGGCGGCGGGGGGAACGAGGCAACTCCCTCATGAATCACAGAAAGAAGAGCTGTTTGCTTTCAAGCTTGTTACAGTCAGCTACACTTCTGTGTCATGTATTCATATGACTCCTATGACTCTTCCCCCCATCCTGCCCCATGAAAGCCTATTCTCTGCAAAATACTTCTTTCATGTTCCCTCTTGGTTCCTATGCCCCCCAGGTCTGCTCTAAACTAGGGTGCTCCAGATCAGGTTTATAACTATAGTGACCACAATCAAACATTTCTCTTGGTGAGAAATGTCACTTGTTCTCTTGGGATTCCCAGAAACATGAAAAAGAGAATCTCTCTGAAAATGGCAAAAATCTTCCAAACCAGTGCACACTGTGTATTTACATATTTAAAGATTTAAACTGTATATTCCCTTCATTTTTCTCTTGTTGGTTCTCTCATCAGGCACAAGACGCTTCATTTCATTTATCACACTCACTGCTTAAAGCTGAACTTTCCCCAGCTGAACTGTGCCCTTCTGCAAATTAAGTTTGCACACCACCACACTGGTTGATACTTTATAGAGGGCAGCACACTGTGTCCTGGACTATATTTGCTCATCAACAAAGATGAACATAAACCTATACAGTGCAACTGCACTTCCCACCTACATTTTATATGGGATGTTTTCATGAACTGAATACATTTTCTGGCTGCAGCCCCATGATATAGAGGGTCTGATCCAACCTAGCCAAGAAGTGAAAGCAGACATCTTCAAAGAGGTGGATCAACAGCAGCAACTGAATAGGCTGTGCAAATCTGCTGTTTTAGGAGTGGGATTGGCTAAGCTGGTAGGAAATGGATTGGGAAATTGGTCATGGAGGCTACTAATACAGCCTTTTTCTTTATGTATGGTGAAGAGGAGTGTGATCATGAAGGAAAGCTGCTGGCAGGTAGCAGAAACCAAGCAAAACATGCTCAAGGAGTGTGCCAGATGCTAAATGGTAGAAAAGCAAGGGAATAGCAAGAGATCTTTGGGACTTGGAGCTGATTGGGACTAGGGAAGAAAAGATTACTCCCAAAAGTGGAGTTGAGGCAGGAACTAGCTGATAAGGGTGGGCAGCCAAAATAAAAGTCAAGGAGAGGGAGGCTGAGGAGTAGGAAAGTAACAGGTGCCTAGACTACTGCTAATCAGACAACTTTCTAGTAACCATTACTTCAATCCAAACTCCTTTCCTGCTTCTCTCTACCCTGCTCTACCTCTTTGCTCTGACCAACTAATTCCACACTTAGCTCCACTTTTGGCATCTGGAAATAAGAGGGCACATCTACATGGGAAATGAATGTAACAATAAACTCTGGCACATATCATATCAGAGTTTACTGCTCCCAGGTGTTGTGTTTGAATGCATGCCTGGGACCACAGCATGCTGAGCCGGGTTGGAGCAGCCCCAGCTGGCACGGGGCCCCAGGGGTCAGTCTCCCAGCCTGAGGCTACTCTAACCTGGGTCAATGTGCTGTGGAGGGGATGGCTGGGGCAAAAGAGTGCTCCAGTGTGAGGTTAGCTGGCAGGCAGCCCCTGCACTGAAACACCCTCATGCTCCAGTCAGCCACATCAGCATTTACACATGTGTTGTTGCACACTAATTAGGCAGCTCTGCAGTAAACATCTCATGTAGATGTGCCTGCACTTCAGCTTGCTTGCTTTTACTCTTTTCGTTACCAGGGGGTGTCAAATTGGAAATTCAAATGATCAAAAATGAATCTGAAGGTATTTCAAATAATAACTGTGACCACTAACTTAAAGGAATTCTTATGACTAAAACCCCTAGATCAAATCCAGTTTTCACTTAACTGTATGTAAATCCAGAATAACTGGGTAAGGACAAATGAACAATTTGCCATGGAATAGAAAGGAGGCAGGATGTTAACAGTATCAGCTGCTCTGTAGTAACTGCCTGTGCACGCGTGCTCTTACCTGAGGTAGCTAATCTATAGTTGCTTTATTGAGGACAAAGGACCAGAGGAAGAGTGTACTGAGATGCAGTAAAATTTTGCCCCTTTGTACCCTGCAACAACTTGTTTGAAAGTAATTAGAAACTCTACTACAGAAAGCTATATAGGAAACTTATTTCCTTTAGACCACGTGAAATGGCAATAAACTGGGAATCAGGAAATCCTGGTAGCCTTGGGATTTGTCCCCAAACTGTTGTGTGTCCTTGAGCAAGTCATTTCACTCTATGCTCGCCTTCTGTAAAATGGGGATAATGCTACTTAATCTCCTTAGCGACAGAGGAGTTAAGAGAGTAACATGAGAACTAAGGATTAAACTGTGAAACTGGCATTTGCCACATGGAAAGATTATCAAAGATATTATATAATACATTTCATTATAATATAGCATATATTATAGACAGCTACAGTTCAGTGAACTGAACTGGTTTGTTCTGATGTCTAATTTTAAGTAGTAGACTACTATTCATTTTTATTTAATTATGGTGTCACTTACTGGGAAATAAGTAAGAGTTTGT